CGAAGAAAATTATGTTACTTTATGATTCTGATTTTGGCTTGCTTTGACCTGGCCGTTGCTACAGTTCTTCATCTGGTAGTGGTATTAGAGTCGCTTGACCCGTCTAAGAAAATTTCTATTATCGGGGGACAGTTGCTAATACTCTCGTTGGCTGCTATGTTAACAATGACAGTGGAAAGATATGTCGCTATGCTGTATCCATTTTTTCACCAGCGCTTTGTAACGAAGTCCAGATTGATAGCCGTTCTTGTGGTATTACAATTACTCCTTACGGTCTTTCATATCACAAAGCACATCGCAAAGCATATTCCAACTGTTGCTGCAGTTTTCTTTGCCCTACTCGTAGCAACCTTTTTAGCGACATACTTTCTAAATTACCAAATATTGCTCATCGCGAGAAAACTACAGCAAAGGCCCATGCTTCCTTTGGGAAGGTATAATGCATCTGATCATTCTTATCTTAACAAAAATCAACGCAAGATTTCTACATGTTCGTTGGCAGTTGCGTGTCTAACCGTTTGCCACTTTCCACATGTTGTATATACCTTATCAATACTGACTGAGCAATTAAACGACGACTGGAGTGTTACGACCTTCCATCACTGGACGGATACGATCGTAGCTATGAATTCCAGTTTCAACTGCGTGATATTCTTCTACATGAACAGCACGTTACGTCGACATGGATGGCAGATATTCCGTAAGACCTTCAATATACAGAACTAGGGACACCCAAACACCCGAGTTATTACTAGAGTATACAGTGTGATTTTTGTATATGGTTACAGTATAGTTGCAATAAATAATAAAAAGTAAATCTTTAGAGTCTAAAAGTTACAGACTTTTATCAACTTGTAACTACAAAGCCCAATGTGTAATTATTGTCAGATAGATCGCTATATACACGAACTCATGAAATGTATGGCCAAAACACTGTTTGTAAGTAATTTAAAATTCATTAGCTCGTTCTGACTTGTCATTGAAATCTCATCTTCTAGATTTCTGAAATAACAGGCATGACGTCTGCAATATAGACTTTCACTGCTTATATGGCAACATATTAAACAGATTGCTTCCGTGGATACTGCACTTTTTCGTTTGTTTATTTAAAACAATTTACCCTATTAAGAGCAGGTGTAACCATAAAAGGAGGCGAGGTCCCACCATCGTGCAACTTCAGTGGCGGAAATTCACTTTTGTGGTGAGGCAAAGACTCCTTACAAAACTACATTATTTTACACTCAAATTTGGTCGTTCTATATAAGCCCATTTTCATGACTATTTTATGAAGATTTTCTCAAGCTGATCGCATCCTTCTAAATTTTCTGCCCCTGCGATAAAGAAGATTCAGTATGTTTCCCGCTTTTACTGCTCTATCTAAATTAAGTTAGCAGAGTCTTACACTTTAAATGCAAGAATAAGTTGGCGTCGTGCAATGTGGACGGATCATTTGCATTTTGTTCAGGGACTTATCATAATATAGGGAGGGTGTTTAAACATTTTTAGGAATGATATTATTTTGTTAAAACATCCTGCCTGGCCCAAAGCAGGAAAAATGGCCACCCCACTTGCTATAGTAGAAAAATGTCAGCCACCTCCTCTCATACTCGCGGCTATAAAATGGCATTTTTATTGACTTACTGACATTAAAAACATTTGTATTTTAAATATCTACAACGCTTTAATAACGCTTTAAGATTTTACTCTGCCGGTCATGAATTGATAAGTCTACCGTTATGAATATTATACATACAAGAATTTATCTGAGTGCAGCAGTAGCGTTTAATACAGCCATTTGAGCATGTTTCTGCCGGGTGCATGAAAACGATACAACTGAAACAAAATTTGAGATGGGTTGCCAGCAGATTTAGGTGGAGCACCGAAACATTCTGAAACATATAACCCACTCCTTTTATTAACTGTCCTGTCTTTGCTAGATAAAAATGTCCCCCCAATACTGTTTCTATCTCCCCTCCTTCTTATTAAATTATGAGCAGTTCCTAATTGTTCAGCTTGTTCTAATCATGACCTCAACAGTCGCCACGTAAATGTCAACTTCATACCAAAGTAAAATTACACACTATATGTTAGAGTGCAGCTGAAAATACTTTATATTTGTGGGAGACGCGGGCGGTGAACAGGAAACATAAATCCTAATTTAATCCGCTCACGATTTTTCTGTGTTGGTGTAATGTACTCAGGTGAATATGATGCTTGTGATGTTACTCTGAGTGTATATCCACACCGGGCAAGCTTGAAAAATGCGCGGTGTGGATATACACTCAGAGTAACATCACAAGCATCATATTCACCTGAGTACATTACACCAACACAGAAAAAAATCATGATTATACTAGATTGCATTTATATCGAAGTAACTAGATTCTGTTCCGAAATATCACACACTCGAACCGACCTGACCGCGTACTCAGTTGGCAGAGCATTGGGCTAGTATTCTAAAGGTCGTAGGTTCGATTCCCACCGTGGACAGGCATATTTTTTAAGCTTGTCCGGTGTGGATATACACTCAGAGTAACATCACAAGCATAATACTGCTCACATTACGTCATCTTACCTCTTCTTCTTGCTCTACTTCAACTAAACTAATCATGGAAGGTTCTTCAGCAGGAACGTCGGGTTGTATCTCTTGCACTTCAGGCTCATCACGTGGTTTCTTTTTATGTTTATGTTTCTTTTCTTTTGATTTCTTCTCAGACTTACTTTTCTTTGACTGCAATATACAAAACGTTTTATTCAGCTAAACGCGATTGGCATTTTCTTTGTAAGTGAATTATGCAGGCTCAATTGCGTAAAACGCAATTAGCATTTCTCACGCCGCCATTTTTTGGGTACAGCTGTCTTTTCCAAATCTGAGATTGTACGCAGTGAATAAGGGATTTGTACAGGGTGTCTAAAAAAAAACGCTACGAAAATTCAACAGGCTGTTGTGCATCACAAACTTAACTTAACAATTCAATTTTTACATAGGACGAAAGAGCTGTTATTTAGCTTTTCTATGATATATTTCTTAAACCGTAACGATGAGAAATGGCCATATACTCGGCAAATAAAAATTTTCGGTCAAAATCACATTCTTCCACTGTTGAGAATTGAAAATACATTAATTATGCAAAGTCAATCAATCCAAAAGCACCGCGAGTCAGCTGCAAGGTACTTGTTTCGTAAAACGTTTTGATTACGAATATTCTCTGTTCAGGGGTTAATTGAACCATGTTTAATGCAATAATGGACGTTCTTGTGGTCTCACTAAGACGAAGATTGACGAGTTGAATTTATTTTAGATAATTTAACATTCAATTTTAATTCCCTCTTGGGAATTGTTTATGCATTCATTTCCATGCAATTCCCAACAATGGAAGAATGTGATTTCGACCGGCAATTTCTATTTGACGAGTATGTGGCCATTTCTCATCGTTACGATTTAAAAAGAGTATCATTCAAAAGCTAAATAACTGTTCTTTCGTCCTATGTAAAAATTGAATTGTTTAGCCACGTTTATGATGCATGACAGCCTGTTGAATTTCCATAGCGTTTTTCTTTTGACACCCTGTATAACTATAATTGCGAGTATAATAAGTTAATTTACAGTCAAATTTTTGAAAAAAATTTTTCACGTCGTTTTTAAAAAAAAGTACCCCAAAAATGGCGAATTTGGCCATCGTGAGAAAGGCTAATTATAGGCTCTTTGAGAGGAATCTGGTCTACAGTACTATTTTGGTGAGCGTTCAGGTTCATAGGGCCGCAGGTTCCATTCCTGCCAGAAGGCCTAGAACTGCTACTAGTCATAAAGAAATTTACATTCGAAAATTGCATCTACAAAAAACCCCATCAATTTATTGATCCAATTTATTTATGTCTATCTCGGATGCTACGATTGCCTGGACCCTCTTCCCGCTTGATAAATTAAAGATGCACCTTTTCGTTACAGTAAAAAAAGCAACATAACATGACAAGTAGATTTTTGTAAAAAGCTTCAATCCAATAAAATATCAAATATTTTACAATACTCATTATAATATAGTATTTGTAAATTCTGAACGCTGATTGGCTAAGAGCCGTGTTGATATAACTCCATGTCAACACGGGAAATTTTCCGCCGCTTGTAAACACGGAAATTTTTCTTATTCTTCGGGCTTTTGACATTGCTATATTATAAAACAAATATAAAACATTTTTTCCGTATTGATATATAGTTATATCAACACTCGTGGAAGTTGGGAAAACTCGAAATTGTGTGAAAACACTCCGCCCTTCGGGCGTCGTGTTTCCACACAATTTCTCGTTTTCCCAATTTCCACTCGTGTTGATATAACTGTATATCAACACGGAAAATGTTTTATATTTGTTAAATATTCAACGTGTGCTCCAAAGTAGTGAATATATTAATATATACCTCAAATTCAAAGTGTCCAATCAGAAATCTAAGTTTGTGCCACGTGAGCAAGAAATTTATTATCGAATCACGCCTTACGTCATTGTACTTGACGCAGCGGGTGATTTCAATCATATCACCCAGGTGACATGATTCGCGTAAACCACGCGCGGCGATCACGCAAACAAGATGGCCGACAAAACATACTAAAGAGTGATGAATTATTAAGTTTTTAAACTTCAAAAAGCTCGTTTTTTTGAAAATTTTGATGCAAATTTTGAAAAAGTTATCATGAATATTCCAAACGATATGTGATTCAAAAGAAAAGTGACAAATACTTGAAGTGCGTTAATAAAAAAATAAAACATCTGTTAATTTAACATCGTATTCATGAATGTATGTGCATGGCAAGTTTTATATTCTCAACTTGGAGGCTTTTAATTTTCGGTATAATATATCATTTATAGACCCTTCCGTCTTGGCTCGGGGGATTCGGCGAAATATTACCCGACGTGATAAATTCGGGTAATATTTCGCCAAATCCCCCGAGCGGAGGGTCTATAAATGATAAGGACTGAACGAAGACTTACTCTAAATGAACGAGGACTTACTTTTGAGGATTTTGGTGTTTCCACTGCTACTGATACCGGTGGTTCAGGTAAATCTGGTTTTACCTCATTTTTCTATAAAAAGATAGAAAAATTGTATTTGGTAAGTGGTATACGAATATAAATATCAAATAGGCTTGGTGAAATGATTTTGAGAAGATAGTATGTACGCCTTTCACAAAAAATGTGAACATACCAGAGACTCTGATGGTGTTTGTGTTGCTGGCTTTGGTTCAGGAGTGGAAAGCCAATAGTCGACATCGTTAACCTAAAGAAAACATATCGTGAAACTGGGAGTAATTCTCTCACATGTGACGGAGGCAAAAATTATACTCAAGCAACTGTGATTGAACCCCAGCCGTAGAGACGAAGGCAAGTACTTTAATAAGCCTGGTTTTTATTTGGTCGTCGAAAATGACATGATAAAGACGGTAAATATGTGAAATATCGCGATTTTGGGAAATCTCGCTCGATAGAGCTAACAGTAGATGGTTTTTTTGTGGATGGAATGTTCGTACGCAAATTCATGCACATAAAATGTACATAAATTTGAGTTTATTCATATACGTTCAACGGGCATCACTCCATTGTACATGCATGCATGCATGTGTGGCTAAAGCTCGGCAACCATAGACTCTTTAATTCAGTTGACTAGAGAACTGCACCGGAATCGCAGAGCCGCAGGTTCGATTCCTGCTATAGAGGGACTCCTGCTATAGAGGGACTCCTGCTATAGAGGGATTCCTGCTATAGAGGGACTCCTGCTATAAAGAAATTCCTGCTATAGAGGGACTCCTGCTATAAAGGGATTCCTGCTATAGAGGGATTCCTGCTATAGAGGGACTCCTGCTATAGAGGGACTCCTGCTATAAAGGGACTCCTGCTATAGAGGGATTCCTGCTATAGAGGGACTCCTGCTATAGAGGGACTCCTGCTATAAAGGGACTCCTGCTATAGAGGGACTCCTGCTATAAAGGGACTCCTGCTATAGAGGGACTCCTGCTATAGAGGGATTCCTGCTATAAAGGGACTCCTGCTATAGAGGGACTCCTGCTATAGAC